CAAGAATCCCATATATGAAATTTATAAAAGGTATCAATAAAAATTGAGATGAGAATAATGAGATTTGAAAACACTACAACTTATAATTGAGATCACAAATTATAGAAGTCGATGATCATAAACCTGCCGAGAATATGAGATTGTCTTTGTTTGTGTAATTGTGTTAGAAACCAAATAATATTACTAGATCCGACAATAAAGCGGGTTTTAAACCTGATTCGATTCAAACACATAAGACTTATAAGGGTTTGGATATTTTCTTTTTTATTTTTTTTTACCCTTTAACGATTCATAAACCTTTCTATTAAAAGGGTTGGGTACAAATTATTAGTCTATAATATTAGTATGGTGTTGATACTTTATTGTTCATGAATGCAAGTACAGTAACTAATTAATGGGCTAGCAAAGTGTTTTATAATTTTGAAGATCTTATTTGGGAAATACGTACATTACCAAATACTAAATTACCCTCTTTTGATGTAGGTAACTACAAGTCTACAACTATTGTTGTAACGACCCGTCGCTGGTATGTTGCTTTTATAGTATTTATTTTCGAAGTTTGTAGAGGATCTCGGCGAGTCTATGTCCCGACTCGTCGAGTAGGGTCGCGATTTTGATCAGTTTATAGATCGGCGACTCGACGAGTCGGCCTGCCAGGTAGAAACCCTAAATCTCCGGGTTTGCACCCTATTTAAACCACCTTATCACCCCCAAACTCGCCTCTTTCATCCCCAAAACGTTATCTAAGCAAACCTTAATCATCCCTTTGAGTTTTGAGCATTCTTGGTGTAATTCTTGAAGTTTTGAAGAGAAGAAGAAGGCTAAATCCAAAAAAAAAAAAAAAGAAGAAGATCCAAGTCCTTGCACCCATCTCAGAGTACTTTAAGGTATTGATCAGTTTCTTCCCGTTTTGTTGATAGATTCCCCTTTATAAGCATATTTAGCCCATTCTTTAGCTTGTTTATAGTAGAGAAATCATATTGGATGGATTAGCTTTCGAATCTAGCCATGTTTCAGTTCCAAAAACGTAGATCTATCAACTTTATGGAGCCATTTTGCATGATAGCCCTAGATCTACTCTTCCAAGTGCCTTTCTAGCCTTTATACCCTTTTGTATGTTTTTGTACACGTAAAGTTGGGAACTTTACGTGGTTAACCAGCCTTAGGAGTTCAGATCTATATATTGTATGCGGTGGTTTTGAGCAGAATTGAGTTTTTAGGAGTTGCATGCATGAGACTCGGTGAGTCGTTCTTCGGACTCGGCGAGTCGAGTCGCGAGTCCCCGATTCTTCCTCTTTGAGTGATTCCGAGTGGGGACCAGTGAGTAGTGTATGGACTCAGTGAGTTAGAGGTTAGACTCAACAATGGAGGGACTTGACGAGTTGTTCATACAACTCGGCGATTCCAAGGCAATCTTCTTATGATTCAAGAACAACTCGTCGAGTTGTTCATACGACTCGGCGAGCCGGGTACAGATGACCTGAGTGTGGATGTAGAATGGGAACTCGTCGAGTGTATGCCATACTCGACGAGTAGCAACGAGCAGGGTTGAGAAATGAGAGTAGGGACTCGGCGAGTTGGCGGCCCAACTCGGCGAGTCAGGTCAACTGTAAAGTTGACTTTGACCAGGAGAGTTGACTTTAGCCAGGGGTAAAAGAGTCATTTTACCCCAATACAGTTATTAGTATTTGATTGAGTGTATTTGTGGAATTGTAGCCGGGGAGATACCGGAGCAGCAGTAGATAGTTCCCGGAGCCACACACTCAGCAGCCAGATCACGAGGTGAGTTTCCTTTCAGTAGGAACGGGTCTAAGGCTACAATGCTAGCCCGTTTAGCTAGTAGTAGTTTCCGGACTTCAGTCCGATGCAGATTCTAGTATGTTTGATGCCTTCGTGGCTCAGACAGGATTTTGTGTTATGTGTTCCGAGTTACAGCCCGATGTAGTATGCTATCTATGTGCCCATGTTAGTTTATATGCTTATGTGATGCTATGTTCAGTAGTTCCGGACTTCTGTCCGATGCATTCAGTTCCAGACTTCGGTCTGATGCAGTTAGTTCCGGACTTTGGTCCGATGTAGGAGGTAAGGCGTCAGTAGTTCCGAATTTCGATCCGATGCAGAGGGCAAGGCCCTGGTTAGTTCCGGACTTTGGTCCGATGCAGTTTCCGGACGTCGGTCCGATGCAGTAGGCAAGGCCCAGTATGTGTTTATATGTAATGTATGGTATGTGGTAGTTTGAGGGAGCTCACTAAGCTTCGTGCTTACAGTTTCAGTTTTGGTTTCAGGTACTTCCGCAAGCAAAGGGAAGAGCTCGGGTTGATGGCATCGCACACACCACAGCTTCAACTGTCCTGGGAGTTGTTTTTGGTTTTCATAGATGTGATTTGATACAGTCTTGATACAGTTTACTCATAACACTTTGCTATTGTTTTTGAGATATTGACGTACGAGTTTTACCTTATGATATCATCATGGTGTTTTTAGTAATTATCAAACAAAAATTTTTGGATCGTATTTTGGGATGTTTCAATTGTTCTGATGACATGGATTATGGAATTTATGAATAACAGTTATCTATTAAAATGCTTATATGAATTGCTGGTAAAACAATTTTGGTTAACATGTTTTTTTCATTTCGATCTGTTACTAATTTTTTTTAATCTTATATTTGTTATATATATTTTCAATAGTCCATTTGAGTTTAACATCTTAGTGTCATAAATTTCCATGTAATGTGTACCATTTATACAGCACCGTACTTACATTTATTAACCGGAATATCAACATACTTATATTTTTGACAGAAATTACAATGTTGTATATTTATTGAGTCAAAAAACAAACTACTTACAAAATTTGAAGTACAATGTTATTAACTAAATTATTATTATTTATCATTAAGACTATTTTTTAGAGTATATGTTAATTAAATTTATCATCTCATGCATTACACGGGTTATAACCTACTATAAGTATATAATTTATTTTTTTATTTATAAAAGTTCCAATCACACATTTTTTTAGGGATTTCATGATTTTATTTAAATACCATTTTATCATATAAAGTTAACTAGAAAGTACTTTTTGTTATGCTGTTACTATTTTTTATTTGTTGGTTTTTTAAATCATAAACTTTATATAATATAATTAAATAATCTTATATTTGTTATATATATTTTCAATAGTCTATTTGAGTTTAACATCTTAGTGTCATAAATTTCCATATAATGTGTACCATTTATACAACATCGTACTTATATTTATTAACCGGAATATCAACATACTTATATTTTGACAGAAATTACAATGTTGTATATTTATTGAGTAAAAAAAACAAACTACTTACAAAATTTGAAGTACAATGTTATTAACTAAATTATCATTATTTATCATTAAGACTATTTTTTAGAGTGTATGTTATTTAAATTTATCATCTCATGCAGTACACGGATTATAACCTACTATAAGTATATAACTTTTTTTTTATTTATTTATAAAAGTTCCAATCACACATTTTTTTAGGGATTTCATGATTTTATTTAAATATCATTTTAGCATATAAAGTTAACTTGAAAGTGCTTTTTGCTATGCTGTTACTATTTTTTATTTGTTGGTTTTTTAAATCATAAACTTTATATAATATAATTTAATAATATATCAAATAGTATTTAAAAGTATATCTTATATTGTGATGCTATTTTGTGGGCTTGACAACATACGCAAAACCTCACTTTTCCCTCGTGACCCTCGAAGGCGAAGTCTAGAAGTCTAGAACCGTAATTTTGGTGATGGGCTTCCAAACATAAAGGTCAACAAGACAATGTCTAAAGGAAGCAGGTTATGAGGTGAGTATTAAAACATAAATATATTATCATATTATAAGATCAAATATATGAGAGGTGGTATTGGTATCTTCAGAGTTCAAATCAAAATAACCACTATTGGCTTATACAAACAAACTCCTAAGTCGACCAAATACTTTTTGAATACAATTATTTGACCTGATGTCAGTCCCAATTTTAAATATATTGTGAATACACTTATTATTCTCCTAAAGTTAGCTTCAAGAAATGATTTTGGTGAGTATATATTGAAAGATATAGAAAATTATGATGCGCTTGATGAGTAATAGTAATTTGGTAACATGTAATCTCAGCTTCAAGTGATGTCATGATTTGTCAGTGTCTCGTGTTTTGAGGATATTAATAGCAAAACCTTTAGAGGTTTTTTTGTTTAAACTTAAATTTTATTTTTGGAAGATTCCACATAAAATTAGGATTTAATCCTTAAATTTTTTCTATGATTACTTTGGTTGATATCTCAAGTTAGTTTTAAGGACAAATATTTGCCAAGTTTGTTGTAAATATTTCAAGCTAATGAGCCAAAAAATTGCTAGTTTTTTGTATCACAAGCATGCTATTTAGCTAGATTATTAAAGTAAAAACATCTCTAATGTTGGACAGCATGACACGTCATCACATCCTCTACATGAGTACATATAAAGATTTATATTCTATTCTATAGGTTAATAAATAAATAAAAGTGTGGTACCTATTTATAAACCTTGAAAAGGTATATGGATAGTGGAGATAGGGTTATAAATGTGAAAGTTTATACGTAGCTAATGACATGACACAAGATTACATTGCAATGATATTGACCTCAAAATGAGGTCCAACATTCACAATCGCATATCTTGATTGAAATTCAAGACTTGCATGTGGCTAGTAATCTTAAAACTTTTATAAAACTACCAAGGTGCTAGAGAAGTAAAAAAAAAAAAAAAACATTAAAAAGTGGAAATCATTTCAGAGTAACTTGAAATCTAATTTTATGAAAATTCATTAACATTTCAACAAGACATCTCATCAAACACAAACACCTAGTGATAGGAAAATATCTTGAGTTAAAATACCAACTATGAATAATGGATGGTTAAACAAGTTTGATAAGGACATATAACTAATTATAACTTGAACAAGTCAAATCCTAATTATGGACATAGAATAGTCATGAACCTACAATTTACTTTCTTTTGTAGTGGTTGTATCTAGACAAATTAGCACAGGGCTCAATGCTGAAAAAAATCCATATCGCTAAAGAAAAAAAAAAAAGATTAAAAATACTGTCAAAAAAATATAATAGATTTTGCTGAACATATATACCAAAAAGATCCATCACTAAAGAACGTAAAATTACGGTTCTAGCCTTCGAGGGTCACGTGCCTCCAGAAGTTCAGGTCTTAGCACACGTTGAGACCCAGAAATTATCTCCTCCCTTGAATAGAAGAAAAACATATGGAACTTCAGATTCAGATTTATATATTTACCCCTAAAAGCTCGACATTATCATAATGGATATACAAAGGTTTTTAGGGCTGCTTTCAACATTACCTCTAATAAAAACATCAAATGAGTTGCTATATAATGCGTTGTCTGGACAAGGCATTGTATAGAAAGGTCGAACTGCAAGAGGGTAGCGGTGTAGTATATAGAATTCAGTTCCATACCTACAAAGATAAGAGTAAGAAAAACCTCTTCAGGGGCAAAATTGGAAAAAAAAAAATATCGGGTATGTTAATAGTTTGAGAATTTCAACGTACTTTTCCAAAACCAGTTTTCCTAATGTTGTTATTATACTTATGGAATTTATGATTTACAAAACTAAACAATTAAAAATAATAAAAAGTCATTAAAACCCATATAAGATTAAATAAAAAAGCATTTTGTTGTTGTTTTTAATATACAAAATCATAATCAAATTGAAATCATGAAATGCTTAAAAAGATTCTTGTGATTTAAAATTTCTGTTTAAGGAATGAAAGTTATCAAAATGAAAGGAATCAAATAATATTTATATTAATGAGAATTTTATAAACAAATGACTTATTTTAATGGAAAAAGACACCCATTACCAAAGGAAAGAAAGTTAGCAAAATGGAAGAAATCAAATTTCTCCCGAAATGGTAAATTCCATTCCATACGATATAATAAACAACTTTTTTTTTCATTCCAATGGAAATGAATTGTTTCTGTTCCTTCTCTGATTCTGTCGTAACAAACACCACCCAAATATGTTACAATATAAAGGAAAAATGAAGGAATTTGAATTACTTTAAAGGCGTGAAAGGATATTGCTTCTTAATAGCTTCTAGATCTTCCTGGCATCTTTCATTCAACTTGTTAAACATATTAACAAAAACATAGTCCACGATATCCATCACCTAAAAAAACTCCATTAAAAATTCGAAATGTTTACTTTGCATACACTGTAAATCCACTACATCGTTCAGAAATCATACCTCAGAATAATGCTCTTTTATCTCCATTTCGAAATCAAGGCCTGTGAATTCACACAGGTGTCTATGGGTATTAGAATCCTCAGCTCTAAAAACGGGACCCACAATAAAAACACGTCCAAGATCACCACAAATTGCCATCTGTTTGTGAAGCTGGGGTCTGTCTAAAACCTTTCTTATCCAGAAACTTCCCAAATAACTACACAAATTCATAGTTTTCGTTAACATATACATAAGGTATGTTACTATTTTTCCTTTCTACGCTGAATAAAAATATAAAATGACAATTTAATCCTTGGAATCCAAAAAATAAAATCTCGCAATGTTCAACAATAAGAACATAAGAGAAGACGAGGTGAAATAAGAATAGCTGCAAACATCTCTTAACTCATTAAGCCAAGTTGTTTTTTTTGACAACCCCACATTACAGATTAAGTGATTAACCCATTAATAAGTCAAAATAAAAAAGGATGTGATACCTTTAACACTTGGTGCTATCTAATACACAATTTATTTACCTTTTTTTTCAATGAACAGATATGAACAAACAAGAAGTATTTGAATCGATCGAAGCAATTCTGGAACCATAATTTTGATGCTTCGATCCCAACGAATCTAGTAATTAATGAATTCAACTAGAAGAGAACCTCAGAATATGAATATATATAGAATTAGTAGTTAACATCACCATATTGTGACATTAGAGTAATAATTATCTCTGAGTTCATAAAAACGATTAAGATCACGAACATATTTTTTATAGATATAGCAAACTCAAATGGAATTACATATAGAATTCATGTGTGTCTTGGAGTTTTACAAATGCACAAGAAAAATTATAAAATCATAGGTTACAAAGTTTAGTCCTACATAATTAATACAGAGAAGAAGATAGGGAACTCACTGTCTCTTCTGAAGATGAAAGTTACGTCGACCACCAAAGCAGAGCAGTAGAGTATTGTCGTTGAAGATGATGCGTAGAAGACACGTATACGTGATGGTGTATATAATGTTGTAAGGGTAAATAAATATAATTATTAGTAATATTAGTAATCAGTAAATTTCTCCCCAAGTCTCTCCATTTTGGGAGGAAAGCTATGAAAAAGATTTTTTCTTTCCATTTCTTTCTCAAAAAAATTTATAATAATAATAATAATAATAATGAACATCATTTTTTATATTTTCTTTCCTATAAAAAAACGGACATATCTCAGCCTCCTCCTATACCTATAGTTTTCTTGCGTTTAAAGTTTGGGGTTTACTTGGATTAAAGTTTGTTTTTTGCCTTTAAAATTTTACATGAAAAATTAAATGTATTCCTACTTTTTTTCCAACTATCCTCCTACTTATTTTAGATTGTGATAAGTGTCATTAAATTTAATTTAAATTTGATTAGGATGTTAAATTTGTACATTTATCATCGTCTTAAATAGATAGGAAGAAAAATATGACGAAAATGTGGAAGTATATTTAATTTCTCATTTTACATTGATACCACAAGTATATTATGATAATAGATATAAATATAACTATAGATTTAATTGAGTATGAAAAAAGATATAAGTTTAGTTTTATAAATATATAAAAACAATGATATATATATATATATATATATATATATATATATATATATAAAATAAATATTGTGTTTATGTATTTGATTTTAGAAGACATGTCGTATTGGTATATATTTTTGTTGAAAAGGTATAAGAAATACCATATGTTTATAACCAAATAAACTATTATGAATTATCTAAAAAACTAAATTGTTTCTTTGTAGGTTAGGTACTTATGTTATAAAGCTTAAGCTACAATTTTAGTATTACAAGTATATTATTCAAAACATATGATCCAAAAGATATGATTCAAAATCGGATGATTCAAAACTGATATGATTAAAAATAATAGATATGATTTAAGATTATATGTTTAAAAATGTTATGATCCAAAAAGATATGATTTCAATACTTGTTTATGAATAATAAATTATGTGAAAGTTTTAACTTCATTAAAATTATATTATTCAAAATATATGATCCAAAAACTATTATTCAAAATCGGATGATTCAAAACTGATATGATTAAAAATAACTTATATGATTTAAAATTATATGTTTAAAAATGTTATGATCTGAAATGATATGATTTCAATAATATGATTAAAGTTATAAAAAAATGTTTTCAAAATTATGGTGTAAGATTCAAAACGATATGGTCCAAAATTTAATGATCTGAGGTGTTATGATCCAAATTATATGTTTCAAAATGTTAGGATCTAAAATGGTATGATTTTAATTATATAATTCAAGTTATAAAGATTTGTTTCCAAAAATCTATTATATGATTGGAAAAAATTATGATACATTAATTATATGTCAACCCAACTTTGTATGGACATTCTGAACCACCTTTGTATCGATCAATATTACAACTAGATTGTTTCCATGATATTACAACATATAATTAGTTGTAGAAATACAAATAAGAAAAGAAATAGTAAGAAAAAAATAAAAAATATATAAACATAAAAATAAAAAAAAAAAAAATAAAATAAAAAAAAAAAATAAATAAATAAAAAACTAGCAAGATTACATGATATCACTAGCTAGACATGTAAAAATCAGCAAGGAAAATGTTATAACAAATATAAAGATATTGTACAGAAAAGTAAATAATAATAATAATAATAATAATAATAATAATAATAATAAGATAGTTGATTATTAGTAAAATAATTGCAAAAATTTTCTAAAAGACATTAGGTTTTGAAAAATTCATTTGCGAAATTAAACAGCAATGAAGTGGTGGATTTCAAACACCCACTCTTCAAATTTGCAAGGACACACGATACCACTCTGCTGAAAGGTGTGATGATGTTTTTGTATATCAAAATTTGGTGACTCATGCACCACATAATCATTTGTCATTCTTACCAATATTTGCTTATAAATAGAGTGTGACGAAGTTCTTGCCTATGAACTTGTTTTTCAAAATTAAAAAAAAAAATGTTAACATTTATGTTTTATATATTACAAGATAACAATTGTATATATTATATAATATGGAAATATATATATATATATATATATATATATATATATATATATATATATATATATATATATATATATATATATATATATATATATATATATTAAAAAGGAAAATAGTCACGATTTAAATTTTAAAGTAAACCATTATATTCAACCTTTTGTTTTAGAAGAGTTGAAGTAAAAGATAAATATTAAAAGAGTGGATCTGCACCTATTTGTTATTGTATTTTCGTTGATGGTAATGTTTGTTGTTTTTCATTGTATTTTATTGTTTTTCTCTTCTTTTTTTTTTTTTTTTACCTTTTTATTTTGATGGGTTGAATTTTATACAAAAGCAAAAAAAGTCTTAGCAAGAAGCTAAAGACGAAATGAAACAATTACATTATAATGTTTAAAATGCACGGAATAAAAACTTTATGCTTCTGATGCACCATCCAATTAAAAGAAAAAGGAAAAATATTTATCTTTTCTAGGCCTCGATCGATCAAAAACACATTTATTTCTGAAATTACATATGAACCACCAATTCATGTAGTTAATAGCTTCCAAGATCGTCTTCCTATTCATATTTAAATGAAAAGCCTCCAAGAACAAATATAGCACATCCACTGAATTTAACGAGGATAAATCTAGATCGCACCACAAATTGAGTTTTTGAATTAAATCTTTTGCAAGCATACACTCGAGAAAAAGATGATTGATACTCTCCACTTGATCCATGCAAATAGGATAGTGAGAATCGGAAACATCAATACCTCTAGAAATTAAGTTATCTTTAGTACGAAGGCGATAAAGAATAGACTGAATAGCTCTCCAACTAAAAATATTCAATTTGATCGGCACCAATCTATTACATCTAATTTCACATGTACCATGAGGTAACAATATGTGTCTATATCATCAATTACTTCACGTGTATCTTTCACCGAAAATTTAACATTATTAATCAAATTCCACACTTAAGAATCTTAGAATCATGAAATTTAATATTATCAATTAACTCTATCATGGCAAAAAAATTAAGCACTTTGGCCAATGCTAATTATTACCCTTTAAATATTTGCTTTTTACATTTTATTGTATTTTATTAGTACTAGCAGTAGTATTAGATTATTATTATTATTATTATTATTGTTGGTGTTATTAGACAAAATTATATAAATGGTCTCTATGATTTATCAAAAATCACAAACTCAATCCTTATTATTATTATTTTGATGAATATTGTCCTTGTGGTTTTCAAAACTTGAATGAATGGTCATTTTTGCTAACACCTTTAGTTTTCATTAGTTAGCGTGGGTGTAATTTGTTTAAGGTAGTAAATACAGAGTTTGCGATCATGGGTAAATCATTAGGATCATTTATGCAATTTTTTTATATTTTATGTTTATAAGTTTGTAACATCTCGTACATTATCTACATTTTGGACTTCACGCAATCTCAGACACTGGTGACTTCGGATCTTCATTACTTGTGATTCCTAGAGGTTCATTTTTTAGGTTCCAATAGTTTCAGTACTTTAGATGATTGGGGGAAGGCAAAGGCGTGATCGTACCCATCCTCTATTTATGACTTCATGATTTTGACTCTCACTTTAACCTTTATAAAATATTATTTTCACCTCTTTATTTTCTAAACTTTCATGTTTACCACGTGTGGTATATATAATTTGATTTCCTATCCAAAATAAAGGTATATATAATTTGATTTCCTATCCAAAATAGAGGTAATATCACTCTTGTTTGTCTTAAATAAAAATATTTTCTTTTTTACAAGGATGCAATTGAAGTTTAAGGTTGGTTTTCTCGACGAGGGACGTCAATTTTTCTTTTTTTCTTTTTTTTGAAAGTTTTGCTTCTCAAAATCCATTTTTTTTTTAAAGTTTTGCTTCTAAACTTTTATGTTGATACTTTATCCCCATGGTACATATAATTTGATTTTCCGTCCAAAATAGAGGTAATATCACTCTACTTTATCTTAAATAAAAATCTTTTCTTTTTTATAACGACGCAATTGAAATTTAGGTTTGGTTTTCTCGACCAAGGCCGTCCATTTTTTTTTTTTTTGAAAGTTTTGCTTCTCAAAATATATTTGTTTTAGAGCTCAATTTAAAAAAATAAACTTGAACTTACTAAACATATGGGGAAAAATACCCGATGGGGATGCAAATGGGGGCAGGGATTTGGTAATTGTGCTCCTTCTCGTTCTTTGAATAGATCAAGATATGATCACAAAACAGTTACAACAAGGTTTACAAATCCAATTCATAAGATCCATGAATTGGTCCACAACAATTGTCAAGCCAAACGAAATCACAAAAAAGTCAACTCTAATAACAGGTTTTGGTTCACTTTGAAAATTAAAATACTCCACCGTGGTGACAGTTGAAATTAGGCATCACCATAACTGTGTCAATGCACTATCATTATATGTGTCATCATTTGCAGTTTTACATATTGTTGGATTATGTTAGCCTTTAGATTTTGTTAATCACTTAGTTTAACGCTTACATATATACTTAGAAGACCTTGTAGCATTTTAAACTTTTGTTAGCATACAAAAGTCATGAGATTCCAATTGGAGTTCAAGTAAGATTTACAACTAAAACAACAGGTTCATGTTCCACCATTATAAATTCGGTTTTAAAAGTATATGACAACTAAAAAAGGTTTTCCTTAGCCCTCACAGCCATCTGAAGCAATAAATTGCAACAATACTTTCAAAAAAATATAACTGATTTCGTTTGACATACCAAAAAGGCAAAAACCCAAGTTGCAAAACGTAAAATTACGGTTCTAGCCTTCGAGGGTCACGTGGGAAAAGTGACACTTTGCGTATGTTGTCAAGGCCACAGAAGAGCATCACAACACGTTCCAATCCAACTCCAATCCCACCATGTGGTGGCGCACCATACCTTCAACAAATGCCACAAAATATTAGCTATTATTATAAACAGCATATCACAAGGGTAAATTTGTAAAAAGTTACGACTTAATAAGAATAAACTCAA